GGTGTTATAGCCAGTGTGTTACCTACAGTAGGTGTTATAGCCAGTGTGTTACCTACAGTAGGTGTTATAGCCAGTGTGTTACCTACAGTAGGTGTTATAGCCAATGTGTTACCTACAGTAGGTGTTATAGCCAGTGTGTTACCTACAGTAGGCGTTATAGCCAGTGTGTTACTTACAGTAGGTGTTATAGCCAATGTGTTACCTACAATAAGTGTTATAGCCAGTGTGTTACCTACAGTTGGTGTTATAGCCAGTGTGTTACCTACAGTAGGTGTTATAGCCAGTGTGTTACTGTATAGTAGGTGTTATAGCCAGTGTGTTACAGTATAGTTNTGTTTAAATCCTTTTCTTTGAAAGTGTTCCATGCAAATCATATCCCACAATGCATTTTACAGAATTATAGAAAGCACAGCATCAAAATGGGAGACTATTTTCTTAAAAAGGGAAGTAACTCAAAGCCAGAAAAATCTTCATTTGGTTGCTTTTAAAACAGCATACTTAAAGTTGAAAAAAACAGCCCTGTTTTAAAAGATTTCAACTGATGCAGTGCTACCCTGGAATTTGAGAGCAGTAGGCCATTTTCAGCAATTTTTAGTCAATATCATATAAAGAAGGACCATTCTATGTAGAATTAAAAGAAAATTCGAACAATAATTTGGAAGGGTCAATTTCAGTTTTGAACATGACCCCCTCCAGGATTATCCCTGCTTTCTTATATGAATTACCCAGCAATATTATGTTTAAGATCATAAGTGTTTTCTTATTTCAGTAAGTATAGTTGCATGTATTTGATCCCCTTTATAAAAGCAGAACCATAAAACCTGATCAATTTCTAGATGTCTGTGAGTTTGTGTTAATATTGAGGACTACTACAGTAGGTGTTATAGCCAGTGTGTTACCTACAGTAGGTGTTATAGCCAGTGTGTTATAGCCAGTTTGTTACTGTATAGTAGGTGTTATAACCAGTGTGTTATCTACAGTGGGTGTTAAAGCCAGTGTGTTACCTACAGTAGGTGTTATAGCCAGTGTGTTACCTACAGTAGGTGTTATAGCCAGTGTGTTATAGCCAGTTTGTTACCTACAGTAGGTGCTATAGCCAGTGTGTTACCTACAGTAGGTGTTATAGCCAGTGTGTTACCTACAGTAGGTGTTACAGCCAATGTGTTACCTACAGTAGGTGTAATAGCCAGTGTGTTACTGTATAGTAGGTGTTATATATGTATAGCCAGTGTGTTACCTACAGTAAGTGTTATAGCCAGTGTGTTAACTACAGTAGGTGTTATAGCCAGTGTGTTACTGTATAGTAGGTGTTATAGCCAGTGTGTTACTATATAGTAGGTGTTATAGCCAGTGTGTTACCTACAGTATGTGTTATAGCCAGTGTGTTACTGTATAGTAGGTGTTATAGCCAGTGTGTTACCTATAGTAGGTGTTATAGCCAGTGTGTTACTGTATAGTAGGTGTTATATATGTATAGCCAGTGTGTTACCTACAGTTTGTGTTATAGCCAGTGTGTTACTGTATAGTAGGTGTTATAGCTAGTATTACTTACAGTAGGTGTTATAGCCAGTGTGTTACCTACAGTATGTGTTATAGCCAGTGTGTTACTGTATAGTAGGTGTTATAGCCAGTGTGTTACCTACAGTATGTGGTATAGCCAGTGTGTTACCTCCAGTAGGTGTTATAGCCAGTGTGTTACCTACAGTAAGTGTTATAGCCAGTGTGTTACTGTATAGTAGGTGTTGTAGCCAGTGTGTTACCTATAGTAGGTGTTATAGCCAGTGTGTTACTGTATAGTAGGTGTTATAGCCAGTGTGTTACCTACAGTAGGTGTTACAGCTAGTTAGTTACCTACAGTATGTGTTTAGCCAGTGTGTTACTGTACAGTAGGTGTTATAGCCAGTGTGTTATAGCCAGTGTGTTACCTACAGTAGGTGTTACAGCTAGTTAGTTACCTACAGTATGTGTTATAGCCAGTGTGTTACTGTACAGTAGGTGTTATAGCCAGTGTGTTACCTACAGTAGGTGTTATAGCCAGTGTGTTACCTACAGTAAGTGTTATAACCAGTGTGTTACCTACAGTAAATGTTATAACCAGTGTGTTATAGCCAGTGTGTTATAGTCAGTGTGTTACTGTATAGTAGGTGTTATAGCTAGTATTACTTACAGTAGGTGTTATAGCCAGTGTGTTACTGTATAGTAGGTGTTATAGCCAGTGTGTTACCTACAGTATGTGTTATAGCCAGTGTGTTCCTGTATAGTAGGTGTTATAGCCAGTTTGTTACTGTATAGTGTTTAGTAGTCAAACAGTCCCTGTTATATGTATTTAAGACTTTTACATCATATACCTGAATGTTGCATAATTAATGCCTTCCTATCATGACAATGAACTATTTTGCGCTTGCTTGTCAAAATTCAATAAAGCTGGATGAGTCAGACCTTTCTTTGTAGGTTTTGCTGTTGGCTTATAAGGTGAATGTGAATTTGTTCATTTACAAACAATACAAAAGTCAGTATGAGTTCTAGGTTAGTACACATGTGACTGACTTTTTAAATGATAGAATTCTGTTTAAATTTTGTGTAATATTTTATTGTTTATTTTCCAGTCAATTTATAATGATCATAGCTTTGGATATTAGTTGTTTGTTTTTTTAGTTTTAGATGTTTTTTAGCTTTAACGTTTTATAAACATGTTACTTCCTAATCCTGGTCATTAATGCTGTGAAATTCGTGTTGTTGAGATCATAAGCTGTGGAATCCATTACCACAGTCATACTGCTTCTGTGATGCTGCTATAGGATGTTATAAATGCAGAATGCGAGAAATTCCACTGAAAATAAAACACATGTTTGTGTTGCTAGTCTAAAGTGTTACCATGCATGTTCATGTATGCATGTGTCTGCAGATTATTGCAAAATTTCCGCGAGTAGGTGAGGATTAGTTTTCCGTTTGAAGGTAACATGTGTCGTAACAGTGCAGTAACTTACACATAGACGTAGATACGTATTAAGTTGGAGTTAAATCTAAGTCTACTAACCAACTTCTAACATCATTTCCTTACAATATGTATATATATCTATAAGAGTACAACATTCAGGATGATTCATGTTAAAAATTCTCCTAGATGATTGACAGGATATTTTATTTGTAATATACATCATCAGTTTTGGATGATGGAAGTGAATGTTTCAAAATTCAATGTCATTGGGGTTCAATGTCATACACATAAACTGGGACTGTGTAAGGCTACACTAAGGTTAGAAGTGGGGCTATAACTCTGTAATAAACTGTGTGGGCTACAATGCCATACACATAAACTGGGACTATGTAAGGCTACAGTAAGGGTAGAAGTGGGACTTTAACCCTGTAATAATCTTTGTGGGCTACAATGTCAAACACATAAACTGGGACTGTGTAAGGCTACACTAAGGGTAGAAGTGGGATTATAACTCTGTAATAATCTGTGTGGTATGTACAAGGTCATACACATTAACTGGGACTGTGTAAGGCTACACTAAGGTTAGAAGTGGGACTATAACTCTGTAATAATCTGTGTGGTATGTACAAGGTCATACACATTAACTGGGACTGTGTAAGGCTACACTAAGGTTAGAAGTGGGACTATAACTCTGTAATAATCTTTGTGGGCTACAATGTCATACACATAAACTGGGACTATGTAAGGATACACTAAGGGTAGAAGTGGGACTTTAACCCTGTAATAATCTTTGTGGGCTACAATGTCATACACATAAACTTTGACAGGATATTTTATTTGTAATATACATCATCAGTTTTGGATGTTTCAAAATTCAATGTCATTGGATCTACAATGTCATACACTAAACTGGGACTGTGTAAGGCTACACTAAGGGTAGAAGTGGGACAAGTGGGACTATAACTCTGTAATAATCTGTGTGGTATGTACAAGGTCATACACATTAACTGGGACTGTGTAAGGCTACACTAAGGTTAGAAGTGGGGCTATAACTCTGTAATAAACTGTGTGGGCTACAATGTCATACACATAAACTTTGACAGGATATTTTATTTGTAATATACATCATCAGTTTTGTATGTTTCAAAATTCAATGTCATTGGATCTACAATGTCATACACTAAACTGGGACTGTGTAAGGCTACACTAAGGTTAGAAGTGGGACTATAACTCTGTAATAATCTTTGTGGGCTACAATGTAATACACATAAACTGGGACTGTGTAATGCTACAATAAGGGTAGAAGTGGGACTATAACTCTGTAATAATCTTTGTGGGCTACAATGTAATACACATAAACTGGGACTGTGTAATGCTACAATAAGGGTAGAAGTGGGACTATAACTCTGTAATAATCTTTGTGGGCTACAATGTAATACACATAAACTGGGACTGTGTAATGCTACAATAAGGGTAGAAGTGGGACTATAACTCTGTAATAAACTGTGTGGGCTACAATGCCATACACATAAACTGGGACTATGTAAGGCTACACTAAGGGTAGAAGTGGGATTATAACTCTGTAATAATCTGTGTGGTATGTACAAGGTCATACACATTAACTGGGACTGTGTAAGGCTACACTAAGGGTAGAAGTGGTACTATAACTCTGTAATAAACTGTGTGGGCTACAATGCCATACACATAAACTGGGACTATGTAAGGCTACACTAAGGGTAGAAGTGGGATTATAACTCTGTAATAATCTGTGTGGTCTACAATGTCATACACATAAACTGGGACTGTGTAAGGCTACACTAAGGTTTGAAGTGGGACTTTATCCCTGTAATTATCTGTGTGGGCTACAATGTCATACACATAAACTGGGACTGTGTAAGGCTTACTACCCATTTCAGCCCATGCAGATTATTATGGAGTTAGAATTCCACTTCGGACTGGGTTGTACAAAGGGAAGTAATAGTGAATTAGTTACCTATATGCGCTGTACAAGTATTTTCGTTACCTGTACAAAGGTTAAAAGATCTAATTTACACCTGTCAGTTTGTTATGTAATGATAGATTTGATGATGGAACAGAGGAAGGTATGACACAGACCTTGCTCCATCCTAATGTTACACTAAATGATATTGTGTGCTGTATTATACTAGATGTACCTATCTAACATTATGTATATAAGGTCACCTGTATACAAATATAAACGCCTTGTCATGACAGGTAGATTGTATACATGATATGTGTAAATACTAAGTGGGTTTCAGGAGACACATGTATGACAACAAGATAGGTACAATAATGAGGATTGTTACGGTCAGGTGAAAATTTATGTGTAGAAATAGATGTTGGTGTTTACGATACGTAAGCGTGTCGCAGGTGTGAATAGAATGGATGTGGAGGATGGGATTTTGTATGGAACAGAGATTGAGGATCAAGTTACAGGTAAAAACAGTTAGTGTGGTAGTCAGTGCTAGCACATACTGTTACCTTTAATGAGCCTATACCTTGATGTAGTACCTTTAATTAGGGGGTCAGGTGACCACAGGATCTACCATGCCTGTCTTGTTATACGTAAAATTGATGGAAATCTAACCTATCGGAAGGAAGTTGGTGTCAGATGTAAATGAAGCCTGACTAGTGATATCTGAGGTATGTTACTCTGTGATGGGGCCGTGGTCAAGTTGTCTAACCAGGTGTCTGACCAGGTGAGGTCCCTACAACAGTTGAGAGGTCTTCATTAATGTAATGCATGATTCAATAAACATTAATGACTTAATCAATGGAAGTGAAGAATCTGTTATGGGCAATGTTTGTAAATGTTATTAAGATATGAAGTGAAGAGGTTGGTTGTTTTAAGTGGTGTTACGTACTTATACCAGGTGTGCACTGATCGTTAGGTCCATTCTATACTTACCTGTCTAATACACCTGGCCAGCTACACTTAATGAGTTGTAGGTGTATCAGGACTTTGGGTGATTGAGCAGTCCTATTGAAGTTTATCTTGACATATTTTTACCTGGTCACTTCCTAGGTTAGAGAGTTCATTTCCTGTGTGTAGAACCAAATAAGGACATAGTACATTCCTGAGTGGTTGATAAATCAATCTCTACACTTTTTGAATTGATGTGAATGATAAATTCATACTTTTCTTTTTTTTCTGAAAATCTTTTAACAAATGTTTAAAAACAAATTCTCTAGATTTAAAAAAAAATGTCTGGATGCATAAGATTTTAAAATTCAGATAGAATTAAACAATTATATGATCACAAAATATAGCTCATTATCTCAAACATTGCACAATTATATAAATAGAAGAAACAGCCAGTCATGTGGTAAGTGTTTTGATGTATCAACAGCTTCCTATTGATGATATGAGCATTCCAGGTCACTGAGTACATATCGTGGCAGCGTCCTTGAATTACAGTGAAATATCTAGGTGGTACCCTAAGTGTCGATTACTTCCGATGTGACGGAATATGACACTAGCATATCACGAAAAAAGAAGTTTGACACTAGTTTATCATGTAACGGTAAAGCCATAAAGATAGAAATGAACATGAAGGAACCACTTAGGCACTACACAACAGGCCTGTATGACACATATTGTAAATATCATCATTTGATATGTTAATTTTATTAACATCTGTAAGACCTAACTTAACATTTTACTGATGTGTGTCCTGTGGCTTACTGTGTCGTACTGATGGACTGATACAGTAGGGAGTCTGACTGGTACAGTCATGATTGCTATTATCATCACACAGACTCTGTCAACAACAACATCAGGAAAACCCTGGACCACATCCCCCAAAAATAATGTCTTATGTACTTTGTTGTACTCAGTGGAGCCAGATACAGCTGGTCATGTGACCGGAATGTCCTCAGTAACACCTGACTCTAGTTTGTGTACATATATATAGATGTATATTAAACCCTCATCAAATATTGATGCTATTACATGGAGACACACTACATCACCTATCATGCCTAAGTGTATAGTTAAACGACTCAAGAGGAAAAGGTACGTATTTATACCACTGTTTTGACTATCTTCCTACTGTATAAAAATTGAACAACTCAAAAGAGGTGCAAATTTAATACCACCTTTAACTATTTTTCTATTGTATAAAGCCAGGACTTACTGGTAATGTTACATGGTAAATATAGCTTTAGTTAAAATTTTATATTTAACTTGAAAATGATGTCAGATCAGCCTGTTTGAAATGTCTGTTAAATATCTCAACCTTGATGTTGATATATCATACAGTCCTGATATTTCATTATATATTCCCATGTATACCTATAGTATACTAGTGGGGGTACAAATCCTCAAAACTAGTAATACGTTCCCAACAGGCTGCACATTTTTATCAAAAATGCTCCATTAAAATTATCTTTGAGGTTACATGTCAGTAATTAGATATTTGGAAAAACGTTTGCTTGGGTGCTCTGGTTGTCTCCCCTGATTAGTGGTATATTGTTAATCTCCCCTGGTTAGTTTCTCCTCTGTTTGGTTATACTTCTCTTGTAAGTTTTTCTCCTGGTAAGTTGTCCCCCCTGATAAGTAGTACGTTGATTGTCTCCCCTGGTTAGTTGTCCCCCCTGATTAGTAGTATGTTGATTGTCTCCCCTGGTTAGTTGTCCCCCCTGATTAGTAGTACATTGATTGTCTCCCCTGGTTAGTTTCTCCTCTGTTTGGTTATATACTTCTCTTGTTAGTTTTTCTCCTGGTTATTAACTGGGCAGGTCAACTATCTCCCCTGGTCAATTTCACATATAAAGAGGATGGTAGTTTCAGGTGACCTGATCACCCACTGGTGATTATAGTGTTTGATGTGATGTCAGGGGATCTACTCAATACAGACTGACTTATTTCCCTTCTCCAGCCAGCTTGAATCATGCTAGAATAACATTTTATCTCGGGATTCAGATTGGTGATAAATTGAGAGAAAAAAAATGTTAAGAATTAAGTGTAGAGAGAGTTTAGACACGATCTAAACATTACACAACTCTAATCTAAGGGGCGCACTGCTGCAAGTCTGGTTAGCTGTCAGCCATCGCAGGTTCCTTTGTAGATAGGTATGAACTATTTCTCTACATTATATTCATTCAGGTTATAACATTACCTACGAACATGTAGAATTCTGTTAAGAGATATATGATGGTAATTGTAGTTGGTGATTTCTATGCAGTTGGGCGGTATGGGATGAAGCTAAATGGGTTTGTGTGCAATCATCCTGAATCATGCTGAACTCTGTTACACAAGCTGAACATGTCTGCTATTTGTAGAACAACAGCAGGGTGATAAAAGATAAGTAATTCTCTCACAGACAGGAGATATTAAACCTGACAGCAGATGAGTGGGATAGACAGACAGAAGGACTCAAACCCTCTACAGCTCTAGTCGATACCTTTCTACATCCAACCACACATACAACCTACCCCAGAAATCATGATCCCACCACCTCCCTTTCCTTCTATTTTATATTTGAAGATAATTACATCATTAAGGAAGGAAGTCGGGACAGGATTGGTCTGTGAGGGGTTTAATAACTTTGGTGCTCTTCACCACAAAAATGGTAAAAGAAACTTGGGGAAAACCTGTTTTACGTCTCTGATATGGAGTCTAACAGGCTAGTAACACCGTTCTGGCTTCCCAGTTTGTTTGAAGAAACCATAATTTTGTATTTCTGTATCTTTGATAAGTAGGCCTTCTCAATCAGTCAGTACTCAAGGTACCATACAGGAGAATCTAAGTCCAGGAAGTTTAGGGAGATTTATATGTAACGTTATACGGACATTAAACAGCACTAACCAAACAGACAAGCTGATGTTTACTTCAGGGGAGACAAGTGGCAGGGACAGGAAACATCTGGGGCCAGTATCAGCCCCACTAGAGTCAGTCTGTAAAATCTCCAGTCAATACTGTCATAGACCTTATATCCCTGTGTGCTAATCTGAGGGAATAAAAAAGAACAACAGTTGAGATTAAATGTTAGTGTTGCATAGTAACATAAAAGCTGAAGGTCGTCACCTTGAAATATGATGGCAGAAGATTAGAAGGATTAGAGCCTGTCAATCACTGTGAGAATTAGTGACCCAGAACTGTTCAAAGGTCATATTGGACTGTAATTTTAGATATACTTCATAGAGTTCTACAAGTCATTAATAGTAGCAGGGTGACCGGTCACCCGGTCAGGTGTGATGACTTTTAATTAGTGGTCCTAGTACTGCTGTAATACATTCCTTGCTTTTTAGTGATTGACACCTCTCTGAACTACATATTAACATATAGACTACTTTTCAGATATCAATTTTGTACCACAATATGTTTAATGAGTACATTTCAGTGTGATATTTACATACACACTGCTGGCTAGGTGTCTATTAAAACAAGATTCAATGGTTTCAATTTATTCACTTTCTACACTGGTTCATTTCATATAAAAATATTTGTTCAGTTCAAAATCAGTAACCAGCTATATTTACATATAAATTACATCCAGTACTGTACTGACCGTAAGGGTCAGCTGACATACACCTTCCATGTCGATCAACAAATACTTCAATCTCTAAATACATCTCACTGCCAGAGGTGAAGCAAACAGATCCCCCACCCAAGGGGTCAAAATCCAGGTATATCTCTCACCTGTTAATTAGTGAGAAACACTTACCTGTGTAGGTTGGTATAACCTGTTTACTGTTTCAGTATACAAAGGTATTAACACATACTATACAGACCCACAGCGAGATTGGTATTACTCTCCAAGCTATGTAGGTATCTACCTGTATATATCTACAGGTGTACATGTGACCACTAGGTAACCTCTGGGAGTTGGTGGGTCAGTCAGGTAGTGGTGTGTCGGTGGGGATGGATGGGTCTGTACCAGGACACTCAGGGTATCAACTATCTCTCACTGAGTCATACAAATCCCTAACAGGAGTTACATTCCTTCATCACAAGTGTTTTATAGTAGATATTCAAACTGGAAACCGTCAACATGGTCAACAAAATATTGTAAGTACAATATTATACATAATATTTAAAACTTGAATTTAAAACTGTCAAATACAATCACACTTTCGTAATTGAAAGAATTAGGACATCAAAATTTGATACCATTCAAATAAGGCCTATTTTAGAGTCTGATTTAAAACTTCTAACATTTGAATTTTAAACGGCATTTGCAGTTGATATTTCAATTGACACAGGGACAGAAGGACCTTGATTGATGAGTATAAGGTGTCTCGTTTAATCGGTGCAGTTCTATACTTATCAGTGACAGTGTGTGAATTAATAGCTGGATCAGGAAATTCATTGATAACGTTTTTGAATTTGAAAATTTTCGGCTGTACATGACAGCTCTAGCATATATATATGGATGCATGCTTTTGTAAGATTCAGAGTGATTAATAGCTTTGGGATAAATTAAGTGTTGGATGTTTTATGATTTTGAACAATTATTAAATGTCATAAATCATCTTTCATATCAAATATGAAATATATACATATATTCCATTTCATTAGTGTCCATTACAAACAAGGAAAATTACCTGGTTTAGTTTATCTCACTGAGCTGCCTGTAGGTACAACATTACATAAGATTATAATCCTGACCCTGTACCAATACCAAGGCAATATTTCCTGTTTTGACAGTGGAGCATTTAGACTGTCTGGTAGGGTGTGAACTGGTGGTATTTATGCCCAAGAGATATATACACCCCCCAGCATTGTGTCACACCTTCGGCACATGCACAAGAAATATATGAGAATTATCCCCCCTTGCCATGGGAACCTATGGGAACCTTTGTGGGAGAATAGTAAGAGATGCTGCTGAAGGAATTCAGTGAGTGTCATCCTTGGGTGTCACTTTACTTGCAGGGTAGTAACTTTCGGAAGTCCAAGTGAACATCACCTCGTGATATCTATCAGGGAACGTAAAAAATGTCACTTCACTAGCAGGATTCAAACTCAGATTTTTATCTCACTAGTAGGGAGCTTATGTGAATGTCACCTCATTAGTAGGGAACTCATAGAATGTCACCCCGCTAGCAGGGA